AGAGAGACAGAGAGAGAGAGAGAGAGAGAGAGAAACAGAGAGAAACGAAAATCATTTGACTTTAATAAGACAGTAAGTGATGCAAATTGCTGAATAACAATTTTAGTTTACATTTGACATCTGGGGTTTGGGTGGTGGTGGTTTTTTTGCTTATTGTTGTTTAATCCCAAGTCTGAAAGTAAACCAACGTATACCACTCTGTGCATAGGGCTGCCCTGGATTTTTATTGTGGGGGGGCATACTGACTTGAGTTTTGCTTTTGTGGCTTACACTATAACCAGATATTCTTGATTATTAAAAAAACCAAACCTCCTATGGTGGAGTTGTGTTGCTTATTAGGTAGATAGTCCTCAGCATAAAAGATACAGCAACTTTGTCTTCTGGCATTCTATTAAAACCGTCTCATTTAATTGTCAAGAAATAGATCTTAGCTTAAACTAGCCAGGTGGGTTCCATGTGACTGTCTTTTTGTTCTGTGTACAGCACCTAGCACAGCGAGGTCCTGGTCCCTGGCTGGGGCTCCTAGGTGCAACAGTACTGCAAATAATAATAATCATGTATCCATATAAGAAAGCTCCCTTCCATCCCACCTTGAGTTCTGAGGTAGCCAGCTTTCAGGCTAAGTAGATTCAGGCCAAGTCATTGTTTGGGTGCAAGAAGTCTAGAGAAATTCTGGAATCGCACTGAAAGCAGTGTTGGTGATTCAGCTGACATTCTTCCTTTGGCCCCCAGAGTTGTGGTGGTGAGCTCTGTGTGGTGATGAGATGTAAAACGCAATTCCTGACCACTTGTCATTAAAGCACTTTTGTAGGATTTACGGTTGTTTACCCCAGTGTCCTGACTACAGATTCCAGCTCTGGTGATTTGTTTCTGTCTCCTTACATTTCCCCTGTACTTGGATGTGACATTTTTCATTTCCTGCCCCTGTCAGTTGAGCACTGTTGCAGTGCGTTCTAAAACGGCTCCAGTTTCGTGACTATGGTGGCTGCATTTCAATGGTGACCAAGAATGACTCGTCTCCTCTCCCTATCTCTAAGTATGCACGAGTGCAGGTACGTGCATATATAATTCCTACAGTCGATACAATTTGTAAAGAGTCAGGGGCGTCCATTTGGATAATAATGAGATGCACTATGGAAATGCAGACTTGCGTCCTCTTCTTCGCCTGCTTGCCAAGAACTCCAGTAACGTTTCTGGGATAAAACTAAAGATTAATTAAAGCTGCCTGGAGGATCCTCTTCTCGTTTCAGTTCAGTATTGTTTCCCCTGGTAGAGCCCATTCTCCCCGGCCTCTCCCAAACTCACTTTGACCTAGAAACAGGCTTTGATTCAACAGCTGTACTTTATTACTGCTTCACTGGTGGTCTTCTATAGTTTATTAGCCAAAGACACAGATAAGTAGAAAGCAGGCATTATATTAATGGTAATATATTGTAATCAGAGGCACATGTGTCATAAAATCTCCATTCTGTAGTCCAGCGATATGAGGTTTCTATCAGCCACATTAAGAGTAACCATCTCAAGGGGTGATTCTATCATCCAGATCTCCCTGCTTATGGCAGAGTTAGGATCAGGGCCGACGAGAGTGGGGGGAAGCCAGTACAAATTACCGGAGCCCGGCGGTCCGAAAAGGGGTCCGGGACCCGGCTTCCCCAGCTTCCCCCTCTCTCATCGGCCCTGTTTAGCCGGTCTGCCCTTGCTGGGGGGCCCGAAAAAATTTTTTCACCGGGGCCCAAACCCGCTCTCGGTGGCCCTGGTTAGGATCATGCAGTCTCTTCCTTTTGCAACTGTAACAAACTCATAGCTGGCAATCACTCATTTAATTTCACGGAGTTAGCAAAGTTCTAGCTACAATATGACATGGTTTAAGGTGTGGGTTGGGCAAAGAGATCGGGTGGCTGGAGAGGTCAGGCCTTCACTTGGGAGCTGCTTGTGTAAATTCACACCAGATCAGCTCAGTGAAAAAACAGATGCTTTTTACTGCACTCTGTAACTTCCAGTTCTTCAGCCTGGCTGGGCTCCTCTTGTCCCTTGGGTGAGGGCTGAAGTGCCTTGGCTGGACTTGGGGTTGGTGATGGACTGTGTGCTTTCATGTTGATATTACATCCTATGTGTCAGTATTTAGGGCAGGAAACAGTTTAAATAAGCCAGGAGGTTTGAAGATTCATTGACTTTAATGCCTTTTGCGTTTGGAGCTGTGGGTTCTGATCGGATGTTAATTGCAAGGGGATCTTGATTTAACTGACGGATGATTTGAACCACCCTGTTTGTGAAGCTACCCGAGTGTTACTGATTAATGAGGGCTTCCCTCAGAGCCTAAATTCCTAATCTATCAAACTCGCCCTTGTCTTAGCCCAAATATTCCCTATCCCTGACGTCTGTCTACTTGTCTGTCTTAGACTGTGGGCTCCTTGGGGCAGCGGCCTTCTCTTTCCTGTGTGTCTGAAAGGCTCCCCTCCTGTTGTAGGTGCAACTGCAAGCAAATAACAATCATAATTGGTGTCACCCAGGTGGTTTGGAGAATCAGGATTCTGCTGTCATAGTGAATGGGTCAGCCAGGTGGTTTGTACCACACTCAGGGCCGGCTCTAGGCACCAGCAAAACAAGCTGGTGCTTGGGGCGGCACATTTTTAGGGGCGGCATGGCCGGCACCAGAATGCCGCCCCTAAAAATGTGCCCCGACCGCCCTAGCTCACCTCCGCTGCTGCTGCCACGGCGCGCGAAACAGGCTTGAGAGCCTGGGAGGGAGGGAGGGCGAGTAGCGGCGCGCGAATCAGCTGTTTCACGCGGCTCGGGGTCTCCCCCTCCATCCCAGGCTCTCAAACCTGGGAGGGAGAGGGAGATCCCGAGCGGCCGTTTCGCGCGCCGCTGCTCCCCCTCCTTCCCAGGCTCTGAAACCTGGGAGGGAGGGAGAGATCCCAAGTGGCCGTTTTGCGCACCGCTGCTCCCCCTCCCTCCCAGGCTCTCAAACCTGGGAGGGGGGGGGAGACTCCGAGTGGCCACGGCGGGGGCGCCGCTCCTCCCCCTCCCTCCTAGGCTTGAGAGCCTGAGGGGAGGAGGCAGGGCTGGGGATTTGGGGAAGGGGCGGAGTTGAGGCGGGGCCGGGGGTGGGCTAATTAAAGAACGGGGGGGGGGGAACGGCCAAAATTGTTTTTGCTTTGGGCGGCAAAAATCCTAGAGCCGGGCCTGACCACACTGGTGTGAAGGGATCCAGAGATACCATACCAGCAGTGACTATAAACAGCTTCTATTGATATGCAGTTTATTTCCCAGATGATAGAAAAAGTGTTTTCAAATGGTCAGGAGGGAGCTGCATCCAGCCTTCCTTGGCAGGGGAGAAGGTCACCC